ATGGTCCTGGTCTCAGCCTCGACGATTACGCCATTGTCGTAGCATTAGTACTCGTGGCCGCGACGGCCGGAATGGTTATAGCCAGTAGGTCCAAAGAGTCTTTAAAGAGACACTACACCAATGCTACTGAGCTCTGATGGATAATGACGAACTACAGTCGGTCAAGCTGGAGCTGGTCGTCATGTTTGGGCCCTTAGCGTTGATGATCTGGTTCAGACTTCAAAGGCAAGTTTTGAGACTAACTTCGCCTCGACTCCGCCCTAACAATCTTAGCTGCTATACATCTACAGCTTTGTCTTCTGCACCGCGGTGCTCACCACCAAGATTTCTATCCTCCTATTCTACCGGCGTGTTTTTATGGGAAACGTGTTGTCTTTCCGGTTGTCGATTTGGACAGGTGCCTTCCTCGTCGGCTCATACCCCGTCTACTTCATGATCACGATGGGGCTCTATTGTAGTCCTCTTTCACACTACTGGACTCAATTCAAGGGCACTACCGGCACGTGTATAAACGTCGGTCGCTTCTTCTTTATTTTGGCCATTATCAATCTCATCACAGATGTGATCCTCCTGCTTATTCCGGTACCCGAGATCCTTAGACTCCATATGAAAAAGGACAAGAAGATTGCTGTTTGTGGCATTCTCGGCTTAGGAGGCTTGTAGGTTATCAGCAAAGAGCCCCCGGCATCCTTCACTGACTCACTCGCCAGCGTCTGTATCGCTAGTGCTGTTCGCGTCCACTACCTTAAGGTCTTCTCGACGGCAACAGACGTAACATGGATGATGGGTCCTGTAGCCATATGGTCTTCCGTTGAACCTTCTGTGGGCATCTTTTCTGCTTGCCTTCCTAGTTTCAAACCATTGCTCAGGGCTTTGCGAGCAAGAAATATGAACTCCAGCAGTTCGAATGGCAAAGTTTCAGCTTACCCACTGGGTTCGAGAGGTGGACCTCGAAGTACGAGACCCAGATTGAGATTGGATGACGAAGTTGCCTTACAGAGTCGGGCAATTGGTGGCGGAGGTAGTGGAAGTGTATATAGCGGAACTGACAGTGAATTTGGACGCCATATTCATGTCAAGACCCACTTCAAACAGACAATCAACGGGGTTGACTGAATGAATGCCAATTGGGTGGCATACATTTAGTTTACATCCGAAAGGTTGGTAGACAGATGCGATAAGGTAGGCAGTGGAAGGACCTATGGGCCATTCATGGAGACGACTTAAGAAGCCTTACTACTTGCATACTCGGGAAAAGTCTATGGATATCTCTTGACCCTGCTCCGTTGTTTGTATGCGTACTAGACATACCACGCTATTGGCTCGTTAGTATGGAGTTAATTTATTCTCTATCGTCGACTTGAACGGTATCTTTGTGAAATAAGTTAATCTTGGGAGGAAGATGAATTGTATTTTAGAAATAAGAATAAGAAAATTGATGGGATAAGAGCGAAGTTGACGATATCTTTAAATAAAGTAGGGAGACTTATTAGGTAAATTGAGTTTCGAGTGAGAAGAGCCGTGTTTACTGATAACCCCTCGGTTTTTCTCTCTAGAAAAACTTGTTATAAACGAGCTATGTGCTTTGAGATGAAGGCTATAGAAAGGACTGTTAATTCGGCTCGCCCTAATTACCTCACATAGTACTTGCGTAGCTGTCAGCGTATGAACCTGGCTACCTTATTGAACAATTTTCTCTATATTAAGTATAAGAAGCTATAAGAGTCTGGGCTTCTTAGACTTAAGTGAGACATTACTTTAAAATCACTTGCTTTGCTCTATTCGTATTGTTAACTTCTTTATACGTTAATAAGGTGCGGCGGGTGCTGGCACAGCTCAAACTATTCTAACGAAATTTTCGGCCATTGTATATGCGGTCTGTCCTAATTGAGTAGAAACAAAAGAGAGCAATAATTATGTTTCTTTGACAAGGGCATTGCTCGTCCCGACGGGCTATTGTAGCAATGTTTGTTCCTGGCTCTCGAGGCTTTTTCGAGCCTCCTCTTGCAACAATAAGCACTAAGAAGCTATAAATGCGGTCTTGCTACCCATTTACTTCATATATTGGCGCCTGATTAGAAGATACTTAAAATGAGAGATAGCTAGGGTTGAATGGCAATTTCGCTTATTAAATAAGATTTCAGTGTTTACGTGATGAAACACTATTCCCTTGGCCTCCTTTTCCGTATCCAACTCCAAGGTGACAGATAATGCGGAATCGGAACCCAGTGTCCATCCTACCATGTGGTCCATATTCTATAATGACTTGGACGAAGCCTCTCCAGCTTCCTACTAACAAAGCTTTCCTGATAATAGAGACTAAGGTGCCCGGATCCTCACTACTGACATTGAGCAGCTGCGAGATCGTTTCGGCTGCCCGCCTTCTCGCATTGTATGGTATTCCACGACACAGTCGTTCGAGGTTACAACAGCCGTTGTTAATAAAACTAAAAGAGAGAGGGCCTCTCGTCTACTATTATCGCTAGTGTAGCACCCTGAGCTCTCAAATTCTAAGTACTTATCTATTCAATTCTGCGCAGTTAGCAGAAGGGGTAGAGATGGGAGACAGTTAGAATCATGTACACGGCCCTTGTATTCACATACTATATCTGGGGTTTCTCGTGAGCTTCTCCCACTTTTCCCTCTTTCTACCCCTAAACGCAGAAATCGGACACTAATTACTGACCCTTCGTACCTTGCCCTCTTGGCGGTACCTATATCAACTCTGTCAAATTGGTGCTTAAGAATAAATAGATGAAGTAATGAATGATTTATGGCCTTGCAGTACATTTCCGGACCCTGTCTCTTCTTTTGTCGATACGCGTCTTTACTATGTGCATGAATACCAAGAGGTTGTCGAAGCCACTCACTGGGAAAGGCATAGATCAGTCTTTTCCAACAACCAATACACGTACGGCTGACCAGTCAAGACTCGCTACACCAAGTCACCTATAACCAAAATTCCAATATTGTCATCACGTCACTGCCTTACTAAGACAAATGACGCGTATAAAAATGCAACATCGGCATATTTTCTCCCTCGATCCATTCGAAACTGCATCTCCGGAAAACCCCAACGAATAAACATCTTTTTTGGACTGAGTCACCACCCCCGCTCAACATGGCAACTCCAGCTGATTATTCGGTTGACCCCTCAACTAACCCGTCTTCTTGGCCCGGCCCGCATCAAACTGTCGAGCAGGCCAATATCAGCAAAGTTAATGTTGACTTCATTAACACGAACACGATTGGCGACTCAGACTTTCACAACCTGCGCATCGGCACCGAGGGACACATTCCTGTCTTGCGGCAGGTGAATCAGCACGTAACTCGCGGTCTTTATCAACTGATCAGCCTCAATATTACGGAGTACTCGTGCGTGGTGGTTGTGTCGACGGGGAAGACGTGGAACGAATTATCGGAAGAGGGTTTTCCGTGGGACAACGAAGACCCTCAGCCTGAAGCAGCGCCGGAATTAAGTTCAATGGCCACTTCAGTGCTATATTCCGTCAACCTGTCGACCCATCCCGACCCGATTAGATGGCCGAACGAGACCACAGGTTACATCAATATCAGCAAGGTTGACATAGTTTTCGTTAACATGAACGGCGATTCAAACTTTCGCATACTACGCACTGGAACCAATGAACACGTTCACCATGTTGTGACACAGGTGACTAAACATGTGGCTCGTGGTCTTTATCATTTAATCAGTCTTAACGCAACGGAGCACTCGTGCGTGGTGGTCATATCAACGGGAAAGAAGAGAAGCGAACTATCGGGACGGGGCTTCCCGTGGGACAACAGAATAGACCCTTAGCCCGGAGTTGGGTCAAAATGGTATGTTTCGTCGTGTGTTTGGATCCGAAATAATTTCGACATGGCATATGCTGCAAGTTTCCCTTGCAACACAACTTGGCTGCATACCTAGTTACGAAAGAGAACGTAATCAACATTCGTATCACAGTCGTGATTCATCCTCTGTCTTCATAAACCCCTCTATTGATTATTCATTGATTCTTGATGGTTCCTTGATTCAGCAGTCATAGTATCTTTAGTAGATCATCTCCCGATATCCCCTGTAACGCTGCGCGTTATTGCCCCTCACTCGAAAGAACCAAGCCACTTTCTGCATAAATACCTTCTACTTCATTTTTTGCTTTGCGATAAACTACACTAGATATCTCGACAATTATCTCCAGGATCGGATATCTCCAAGTTTACCGATTGCTTGACCAAAAGGCTCACCTTCTGTGGTTCTGTTTTGATGACGCGGGCTGCTTCCCAAGTTCCCAAGGCACTCGCTGGGACATTATGTATTCGTAGGGTCTCCGGTAGATGAAACCTGGCTTGCCGATCTTAGCAACCATGGACGCATTATTTGCTTTGCTTATATTAGTAAAGAGAATGACGTTCTTCAGTAGATCTGTCTCTCTACCCCCATCGCCTAGCCGCTTCGTAACATTTTGGGCCGAGGCGGGGTCTATTCTCTAATGATGATCAATGTCAGGAAACTCGATTGACATCCTTCTTCAGATTAACTGGTCGAGAATCCAGATGGTAATTGAAATTTCAATTCACCTCGGCTGCCAGTTCGCAATCACGAAATCGGCTGCTCTCTACAAGTTGTCTCCATACGTAGATATGATTGCTCAGTAAACTTGACTCATGGGAACTATCCATGCACGCTTTTAGGGAGGTGGTTCAACTATGAACATTTTACTACTGGTGTATGCCACTGAGGCACTTATGCATTGAGGTTCGCTAGGAAGTCGAGGGCCACAGGCCCTTTCAACTTGCGATGCGGGATGTGAGATGGCGCAGAGGTTTTTGATATTAGAGAGCTTCAGGCTTACCAAAGCGAACACACTTCCCAGGATTGAAGCAACAATCACACACAGTCTTTCGATTCGGGTATACATCCAAAACCCCAGATGCTCTTCCTCTGAGACTTGAGTGTGCGTGCCACATACCTTAACCCTGAAGGAAGCCTACCTGAGTGGTGGAATGAATATTTGGTGGCGTTTACCAAGGCTGGGCAAACTATGTTTTGTCTTGGCCTTCGGCCTAAGTCGACCGAGGTGTGCCTGGACCTGACGACAAATGGAAGTCCAGGGATTCCTCCTCGTCTTCAACTTGCGTACTCGGTTTCGTGTCCACATCCGACTAACAGTGAGGACCTTCGTGAGAGCAGAATTAAGTGTCACAGCTGCTTCGGTGCTGTCACACGTGTAGAGGACGCAGATATTACTGAATCGGCTGTGTCCGAGCAAGGTACCTAATTAAATGACAAAGTGTCACCGCCTGCTCAGACCATGTGCCATCGTGCGGATAACAGGTTGCAGTCACGGTCAGAAAAAGCGGGGAATGAACCAGAACTTCGGAAGTGTCACCTCCATCCCCCGCGTTACCCCCCAGCAAAAGTCCCCAGGCGGAGGGCGCATCAGGCCAATAGAGTCGCTCAGCAGTAATAGTTCAGTCAGTCGTTGCCCTCCCTTTGTTGCGCAACGTTGACTTTAATTCCACTTCTCGTCTAACCGACTTAGAACGGGCTTGATTGAAGACGCCGCATGCAGAGTATGTCGCTACTTTGCCAAATCTATAACTCCTTCGTGATTTCTGCAATGATGCCGGACTATCAGGCAGCGACAGACGTGGGCTAATCCATATCAAGTGCGTGAGTCCGATGTGAAATTGCAGCTGCGGCGCAAGCGGCTTGGGAGCCAAGGTAGCCAAGAAGCCAAGACAACCTGGGCAGTGCGCTGGGCAGGCCCGACAGTCGGACAGAGAGAGAACAGAGTTGGATTCGCTGAATCTCAAGATGAACCGACATCAAATGACCTGGGGCATGTACCCTTACGAGTCCCAGCAGAGCCCATGTGCGAATAGTACTCCCAACTACGTTTTCCAGTGCCCTAAACACAGTCGTCGCTCAAGACAATACGATGCTTGAATCGCTTTCAACTACAACGTCTGCGCTCCGACCCTTTTGTTAAGCTGCTGCTTGCAGCCGAGACATGGGCGCTATCATACAAGAGCATCAGCTTTTGGGTTGCAGTGCATTAAGCATGCAGTGGTTCGTCCAGACACGAGCAAGCTGCACCATATCATGTCGAAAACAGACTAGAACGAGAGGTTGAGATCCTGGCAGATTCTTCTGCTTCAATGAGGCACCTGATCCATCGGCTCAAAGGAGATCCTCCTCTAGCCACTTATTCACGGGCTCGGTCGAAAGATACCCCAGGATATTGTTCTCTTTCCCCGCTTCGTTTACGCATTCCCCAAAGAGACGGTTGTAAACCCCATGGGGGCCGTGTGGGGAAATTGAGTTCACGCAGTCCAGACTCGGGGTTGAACTTGCGCGAGTAACCCCAGCATTGGGGACAGGTGGTTGGAGGACACTCCTTGGCATCTTGGCAACCAGGGAGCCGGTCCGGATAATGGTATTCATACCTGCAAATACGCAAGTGCTTATCTTCCCCGTGTTCCGCTCTTCTGTTTCCCAGCAAGCTTCCTGTCTTCCCTACCAACATCACCTCCCGCTGCCATCTTTACAGAAATCCCCAGCATAGACAATTAGAGTGTCAGGATGGCCGACAACGAAAAGGGACTGCCTGAGACCTTGGCTAAGGCCCGGTCCCGGTCCGTCGATCATGCAGAATACGGCACATACACTCCCGATATTGCCCTTATCCAAGCTGCCGCAGCCGCCAGCGAAGAAGAGACCAGGCTGCCCCGCAAGGAGCTTATATCGCGATATCTGCCAGCTGCCATTTACAGCATGCTCCTGAGTATGGCCCTGATCATGGAGGGCATGGACGTTGGTCTCGTCAACAACTTCTTTGGACAAAAAGCCTATTTGAGGAGGTTCGGTTGGCCAGATGCCAACGGCAAGCAACACATCCCGACATCATGGCAGGCTGCCATCGGCAATGGCAACAATTTGGGAAGCATCATCGGACTGCTTTTGAACGGCTGGCTTCAGTCTCGCTATGGCTCCCGACGAGTCTACATGGGTGCCATGGCACTCATGGGCGGGACAATCTTTTCATTGTTCTTCGCAGTCAACGTCCAAATGCTTTTCGCCGCCAACATCCTGTGCGGCATTCCCTGGGGTATCTTTCAGACTCTAACCACTGCATACGCTGCCGAGATTTGCCCAGCTGCTATGCGAGGATACCTCACCGCATGGGTCTCCATGTGTTGGGGATGTGGCTCCTTCCTTGCCGGCGGTGTTCTCCGTGGTTCACTGGGACTTCAAGGAGACTTGGCATGGAAGATCCCTTACGCTCTCCAATGGGTTTGGGTGGTGCCTCTATTCACTGTTGGTTTTCTTGCCCCGGAAAGCCCATGGTACCTCGTTCGCCGTGGTCGCATCGAAGAAGCCGAAAAGTCGCTACGCCGTCTTGCACGCAAGAACTTCTATACCGAGCAGACCATGGCTCAAACATTGGCTCTCATGAGACACACCAACGAAATGGAAAAGATTGAGTCTGCTGGCGCCAGTTACCGCGACTGTTTCCATGGAACCAACTTGCGCCGCACAGGTATTGTGGCCATGGCCTGGCTTATCCAGATTCTCAATGGCCAGGCTATATGCGCCTACGCCACCATCTTCTTGCAATCAGCCGGTATGCCAGAGGTCCGAGCATTTGACTTCAGCATGGGTATCCAGTCAGGCAACATTGTGGGCACTGCCATTGCCATTTCCCTGATGGGCAGAGTCGGGCGTCGCGTCTTCTTCTTCTGGGGTTCCTCAATCATCGGTCTCCTCATGCTCGTCATTGGCATCCTAGGCTTCATTCCAGGGAAGACCAACGTTGCTCTGGCTGTGGCTGTGGTCATGATCATTGTTAACCTGACGTTCAAACTGTCACTGGGCCCGACAACATACACCATTGTGGGCGAGATGTCCTCAAGTCGTGTGCGAGCTCAGACCATTGTTCTCGGGCGCGCCATCTACGTCGTTGGACAAATTGTTGTACAGCAGCTCAACCCTCGCATGCTTAACTCCAGCAGCGACTCTTGGAATTGGGGCGCAAAGACTGGGTTGTTCTACTTCGGACTTTGCTGCCTTTGGGCTGTGCTCATCTTCTTCTTCCTCCCGGAGACTAAGAATCGCACTTTCGCAGAGCTCGACTACTTGTTCCAGAAGAGAACTCCGGCTCGTCAATTCGCGACCACTCCCGTTGACTGTAAGCCAAACTTTTCCTGTGTTTTCTATTGATTTGGGTTTGAAACTTCTCCTTTATTTGGTTTGTTTACAGTTGCACCTGCTAACGTGTCTCATCGTTAAGTATTCGAATTGACCGGAGGCGATGCCAGCGCCAACAAGCTCGACGATGACGACCTCAACAAGAACGTTAGTGAACTGCACGAGAAGCGAATCTAGAGCATATTTCACGAGGATGCTATCTATCACTCATGTATACCTATGAGGTAGATCCGTAGTGGACTGTTGAATAAATACCCCAATTTGATGTAACACCATTCGATTACTCGCACATCTCTCAAGGGTTGCCTTCACGTTGGCTAGGCTCCAACCAACATTATTGTATCCATGTTGCTTCTTCTAGGTAATGCTTCCATAGTCGCCGATTTATCACATTGGCTCAACATAATAGCGGCCAGCGACGGTTCACCCTGCAAACATCTACCCACGTTGAGCTCCGTGATGTGTTTGCATCCGCATCCTGGTGCCTCCAAACTTCACACAAAACTTCACTCGACACACAATAGCCTTTCCATCCTGACTTAGTGTAGGCTCTGTTTAGCCAAGAACTGAATTGTGCCCTCCTCTCTGGTTTCGTCGCTTCTGCACCTGCAATGAAAGCTGGCCAAGCTGTGCCTGGCCCTAGCAGGTTATTTCGACTCAACGCTTCATCAAACCCTTGCAACGCCTCCATCACCTCATCGACACTTTCTTGAAGCAGCATAGGATTAATGTTTCGGATCCTGCGATAGAAGAATATCATCAAGGCCGGGCGTAATGCCCGCACCATATGCACGTGAGGCTTCTCGGTATTCAAATCCTGCTCGTACTGACCGTGATATCTTGCTTTGAAGGCACAAACAGCTTCTTCTAGATAGGATGCTTTTGGTTGCAGTGCTGCCATCTTGATGGCGTCAAGCTGGCTTTCATTTGGCGCGAGGCGGTCCATAACGTTAGCTAATCGTGTAATCTGGGACACAAGTCTCAGCCAGGTTTCGGGCACGCCATATATCTGCATATACAAGTCCTCTTGATCCTGTATCGAAGTTGCTAGATGTATATCTTTGTTGGCATGCGTCATATCATCATTGATGGTAGTGCCGGAAGTTGGATCGGAATGAAGTTGCAATGGTTCCAAGTGAAGGAAGTTATCAAGAGTAGTTTCTGGATGGGCTTTGCTCAGTAACTCCGCGCTTGAGATAGCTGTCCTGAGCGATACTGTTCCATCTTGAGACTGATCGCGAGCAGGAACGTGTTCTTGAGTGGTGACCCTGCCATCGCTGATGCTAATTGGATCGAGTACTGGTGATTCATCATGGAAAGTTTTAGTGCTTTCCGAGACTATTCTCATCCAGGCATAAATGTTGTGTAACAGTCGTGCTCGACGTGATAACTTTGGCTTCCGCAACCCGCGAACACGGATCAGCCTCTCCATTTCTAAGAGATATCGACATGTATCTTGTTCGTTTCCAGACAATAGCTTATTGGGAGTTAGCAGAAGTTCAAAATACAGAGAGAATACTTGCCGCGGTTGCAAGGATAGCTGCGGCTGCCATCAGCTGTTCTTTGTACTTGGCCTTTTTGGGGCCAGCAGACTCCTCCTCCAAGGTAAGCTTCAGGTGAAACTTGGCGCAGTCATATGTCCTCTCGGATAGGGATTTCCAGTACCGTTCGGGCTTTGTCAGTTCTGGGAAGCTCTCTGAATTGAGTGAGAGATGAAATGCGGAAACCGCGATGATGGCGTAAAGGTTTGACAAGTTGGCGTGTCGAGTATCATAAATGGGGAGTTCAAGCATAGTGAGCTGACTGAGTGTGACGATGGCAGAAGGAAAATTCAAAATCCTCCATGCAGACTTCTCGTTGATCGGTAGTGAGCCCATTTGATTTATGACTTCATCATAAAAGTGTTTCAAAAGAAGCGGAGCGTCCGCAACTAGATCTTCGTTCGGCTCTGAGATGACACCAGGCCTCACGCTGCCGGATCCTCGAGCGTCCGTCGTTTGGTGATTGATCGTTTCACGGATTGTCCAGTCGTCTAGTGTAGTGTGCGGTTCTTGATTAGAACATGGGATTTCGTCAATGGAGTAGCCCAGATGGGGGAGATGGTTTCCTTCCGCACCCCAGGTGAACAAGTCCCCCCATTGAAGAACATCTAGAGAGCTCGAGAGAAGCTCGTCAAGAGCGTCAGACACAGTGAGATCATTTACATTGGGACCGCAACTTCCGGCGACATCGGCCGTTGCGTAATCAATGTCTCGCAAAGAATATCCCAGGTTTGATGGTGAGGTGGTGCCTTCCGAAAAAGACAGGTTGTCGCACTTGTCGACAGCGCGCTCCTCCACCACTGGGCCGCTTATCTTTGCACCTAGATCGACTTCAGAATCTCCGTCTGGAACTGAGGAGACTCCGTGAAAGACGTTGAAAGGACCAATGGTGATTTCCATTTCCTCCCTGGATTCCACTGATTTGGCCTGGTTGTCGATCTTGAAAAGAGCTTCGTTGACAGTAGAGGGCAAGCTGGTAAAGAGAGAAGTGCTCATCACCTTTCTCAAATCATCTGTTCTCCTTCCTAGTCAGCTTTATCCGTGTAGAGGTCGTAATGGCCCTCAGACTAACCAGAGTATAGATGACGCCGGGAATACTGTGTAGCTTCGTTTGCAGGAGAAATCGCCGTGCTTAAGTTGTCTGGACCGTTTACTAGAACCCAGCGAAGGCCGGCTCTGAAATCGCACTTCAAGCCTGAGATGCAACATCGTTTACACCTTGGTGTGGTTTGGTCGCATTTCAGGTGACGTTTCCTGCATGTCTTGCATCCTTCGAAGGAATGTGCGCTCCTGGATCTTGATGTGTGCATGATGCAGTCAATGCCGTACGGACCAGGCAATGCCGTCGACCTCTAAAGGATGTACCGGGAGGGGTAGTTCGTCAGAAAGCATCAAGCAAGGGTGTGACACAGCAATAAGGTAATGCTAATTTGGCGAGATCCTCCGGTGTTTATAAGGCCCAGATGGACAGCATTGATTCCGGGGTGTTGGTTATCTATTATATAATTGATTTCGCAGGCTCCTTCGGTCCGTATTGTGCGTAATACTAGCAAGCTTCCGCGGGAGCGATTGGCGACAAGTGCGACGCTTTTCGTCAGTTGCTGCCCCAATTGCAATTGCACTGCTTGTCAAGATAAGAAGATTGATCAACGAAACGAGAGAGACAATCGTGGACCGCTATGATCATTTTCTCATTTCGCACAAAATTCGGGACCAATATTCAGCTAGTTTTCATTTGAGATTTCAAACAGTCTTGACGATACAGTACATATAGAGTAACAGGACATAGGTCAGACTGTTTGTGACCCTTCCGTGGGGTCTAGGCCAAACTGGAAAGTGACCCCGGAAGCTATCGCTGGATTGGCTACGTCAACCCAGCTCCACACACCCAAGAGGGCCGTATCCTTAAACCTTCGGCAGCTTTGCTCTGTTTCCCAAGCAGAGCCGATAGTCGTCCAAACAATCCTCGCTGTGAATGCATGCAGCTAACCAAATAGCTTCGCAATCCTCCGGTTGTTCCACTCCCATGAAGTAACATCGTCATAGTGGCATGGGGTAGTTTCGGTGACGAACTCCTTCATGGGAAGCAGAGATGCATGGCGATTCGGCTTGACGAAGTACGCAATGGAGTACCGCTCGGGAATCTCAACATTGTCGCCAGCTTTGATTGCTGGAGGATACGTGACACGATGGCAAGCAGCACGGAATGTGTCATTGGTCAGGCGTTGAAGAGAGTCGCCAATGTTGAGGATGATATCCGTGGGTGCCAAGGACTCCACACTTCGAAATACTCCAGGCTCGTTCTGGTCCTCCACTTGAAGACCTCCCACGGAATCTTGAAAAAGCATGGTGATCGTTCCAAAATCGGTGTGCTCGGCAATGCGCGTCGCTGTCCCGTCCGCAAGCTCCATGGCCGGAATCGCCGGATAATGAAGAAGGCGAAACTCGTTCTCCGCACGATTATGAAGTGCCCTGAGGTAGTCTTCCGAAACACCGAGAGCAATCGCAAGAGCGGATAGGAGATGCAGTTCAGTTTTGTAAGCTTTCTCATAGAAGGATTCCATGAACTTCCGGAATCCAGGAAGGCTCTCTTCAGGTACCCAGAGACTGTCTACAAGATCGTCGTGCGAACTGCCCATGTCCAGAGTTTCCTTGATAACTGATGTTAGTCAATTGAGCATATGGCGTCTCCTCTCTCGCAGTATGGGGTACCTTTATATCGCGAGTCTTACCAGGCCCTAGTCCCTTCTCGTAACCACTGATATTTGCAACATTTTCTTGACCAACAAAGCTATATCCTCTGTTTGGATTGGCTTGAGGCGGGTGCTTGGCTTTCATCTTTTCCTCCAGCGGCAAAGCAAAGAATTTTCGACTCTATAGTCACGGTCAGCCGTCATTTCATTTACTCCATATTACTTCAAACCTACCATATCGAATAATTGGTGGATGTCCCGTGCTGGTATACTGTGATTTTGAATCTTGACGCCGCCTCGCGACTTGAGCAACCGAAGTAGCTCGTTGCAAAATTGTCTTTTCTGCTCCTCTGTTCCAAAGAACAGAGACATGTCGAGTGTAGCACCTTTGTCGTCCATACTTGATAGTATAAGCTAGTCTTGGGATGAGAAGCTCAAGCTGCCTAGGAAGTTGATCTGGTCTGAATGATTTGGACGAGGGCAAAGGAAACAAGTTCAGCTGGGAACGTCGAGCTGTTATATACTGTTTCTCATTTCTCAATACGCAGTATTGAGATGTTATCTAGGTCTTCATAGCCATATTTTCTATTTTGTTAAGTGAAGCCGAGTCAACTGCCAATACAAGTGGCCGTGTCAGAGTTGCAGGTCAGTGTCTGGATCCATCCATACTTCAGGCGGAAGAGTAATACCTCTATGAAACAGCTTTACAACTTTGTTAGATTGTAGCCAAGTTCCGCCTATCAGTCTCGGGCGTAAATCAATAAATGCAAGAGAAGCCGATGTTGGAATACCTTAAATGTCGAAAACAGCATTTTGGTGGTTCACTTTCAACCCCCTTTTGGGATACCTCAGTAAAGTGGGTCAGAGGTTGCAGGCGCAGCCAGTTGGGCAGGAGAACCCGGGCCCCGCAAGCCGGCCAGTCCGATAAGGCGTAAAAAGCGGCAAGTGTGCCCGACATGGGATTTATCTTCCCCAGCTTCAACGTTGACTGCCATGTGCGACACATGTTTCCTTCCCTAGAGTAAGGGCTATGTTCAAATCCGTCTTGTTCCAACATGTCCGATAAGCTACACCTCTTCGTCCCTCGTCAGTTCACAGCAGCAACACCCACGGTGGGTTGCTGTCATGACCAGCAAAGACGTCTCCGCATGCAATCCAAAGTTGTGAACAACACGTATTGCCCCGGAATCAGAACAGCAAATTTACTGGGTCTATGTAATGATGATGGCAGCTCGCGACATTGAGAGACAATTCTATCCTATTCATAAATGCTCGAACCAGCATCCTAGGCGACGTCATCTGCGAATGAGAAAGGACTCAAAGGACGGAGCGACTTTGGAAAGATGTTAGGTCGATGAACCACAGAGCTAGATATAGTTCAAAATATATTGGTATTAACGCTCTACAAGTATGGTACAGTTTTCTAAGAGTAACGGGCTCCAAATGTGACGCTACCTACTTATTTTGCTAGGCGCATCAAAAGCATAACCGATCTCCGAAATGTATACTCAAGATCGAAGATATGAAGACTCCTTTTTATTCTAGATGAGGTCATAGATCTGTAAGTATTCCCTACTTGGGAGGTACCATAGCAGTGGGCTAAGCGTGGCATGCTCGGAAAGGAATCGACCGGTCACATCATCCCGTGTGTGTTGCAAGCCAAGAAGTCGGGCAAGATGATTAATTGTCTTAGATGCAAGATTCTCGATTGCAAGCAATGCCAGCCGTCGTCATTGATGTTACGTAGCGCGTATATGCCCATTTACACTTGAGGAAGCTCCGCCTTGCCAAATTTATTAAAGCTACATTTCGTTGATGCGGTCCTGAGTAAGCAACAGCAGTTCATGACCCAAGTGATGCAGCCAGACTAAGCCCAGAACGGGGGATAGGGTTCGTATTCGCAATGCTTCGTTACCCAATCTTTAATAATCTATTTCTTAGAAATGTGTATGCATAACAATTAATATCGACTACTTTCGTTTGTTATGTCTGGCAATGTATGTCGTGGTCGCGTAAGGTAGCGTAATAGCTTGAGAGACTTGGAGTCTAGTACCTTGGGTTTTGAGATCTGAAATTGCAGGTACGGGTTGTCAGAGTAGCTTAGCTATGCCAAGCTTTCACGCGTCTCTTGTGTGGCTCGTTTCACATCAGGTCCTAAATATTTCGGGTGTTCCGGAGTGCTCAAACTATTAACAGATTTGTGAAGAGGGGCGGAAGGCCCAATACGAGGCGACACATCGCAATGGAACTCCGCTTCTTGCGTTCTCCCTTGGTGTACAGATTCACTATCACTGGTCTTGTGATGCGCGCTTGTGGCTTCGAGACGGCTCAGAATGTAACATCTCGTAAAATGAAGCCCGCAATTGCGTCTCTTGGATCGCAGGTCCGGTTATTGTAGTTGCGGGTCTCTACCTTGTGATGTCTCCCTTCCAAACACATAATGGTCCTTGACTAGGCTGCACTTCCCTCTCGCCTAATTTTTCTTGGCATCTGCTGTTAGTGAATGAGTGAGCCTACCACCAAATTACTAACAGCCGAAAACTCTTCACCTCCCCTTGCCGGAGCCCGCATCCGCGATGGCCTCACAGCCGCCGTCGGGCACCGGACTGATGTCGGCCGACCAAGCCGACCCCGAACCAGGCTCCGGGACACCTCCGGAGCCGAACCCCACCTCAAGAGCTAAGCGACGCCGCGACGCCGAGGCACAGCCGACCCGGCCCAGCCTAACGGGAAGCCAGCTTGATGCCACCACCGACGCCCCTACCTCGGCCGAGGGGCCCGCAGCCTCTACCGCATCTGCTCCGAGCGGATCTGCCACAGGGTCCGTCTTGACAGCCCTTGCAGAAGAAGCTAGACAGTACGAGGCACGGAAAGACGTCTTTCTGACCATTGCACGGTCCGTCGACAGCGTTGTCGCCAGCTTTGACGGTTCTAGAAAGCAGATCGCGAAAGAAGCCACTGCCTATGTCATTCAAACCCTCAAGAGACTGATCAATCACGAGACAAGCCCAATAGCGGCCCGGAGTTGGGCGGCTGTCGTCGCACCGATGGCGGGCAACACCACTGCGGCGACCCGGAGCGGCCAGAGCTGCCAGAGCTCTGCCCGCCCGAAGGCCACACTCCCCGCCGAGGATCAGCCGCAGGCGCAGCCGAAGGAGGACCTCCGCATCTTTGCCCGCGTCCCGGAAGAAAGCTTAGCGGCCGCTCGGAAGATCGCACCGTTCGCCGTACGACAGATCGTCTGTAAGGCCGTTGGCCTGGGGCTAGCGGACCTTCCCCACGTCTACCATATCAGCACAGGTTACTCTCTGAAGCCGCGAAACAAGCAAATACAGGAAAGACTACTTACAAGTAAGGCAAAGCTGGCGGAATGCCTCGGCGCCCACCAAGTCGAGACGCCTATCAAGTGGCACACATACGTTGTGCCGCGATGCCCAACAAAACTACACAGCATTGGCGGGGACGTCCTGGACCCAGCCACACTCGTTGAAGATGAGGTCTTCGCACAGACAGGACAGAAGCCTGTCCTTGCTCGACCGTCCCGCCTTGGGCCCAACCCAGTCACGAACGAAATATCTTGGCTCATATCATTCACATCAGAGGTCACGCCCTTCAGGCTCTTCAACCAAAGCGGCAGATCTCTGCCCATCAAAAAACGAAGGACGCTCATCCGACATGACCCCGGCTGCCAGGGCTACCACGCCAACCGGTTCTGCGGACGACGACCGACTTGCAGCAACTGCGGAAGACCTTCCGACTCACACGAAACGGGACCTTGCATGGCCAGGCCCCAGTGTCCCAACTGCTGCGGCCCCTTCCAAGCCGGCCACACAGACTGCCCAGCGAGGCCCTCGGTCGTAAACGGCGTCGTCTCCCTTCCCGGTCGAAAGGAGCGGGCTCGGATCCGGAAGGCCGGCCAGAAAGCATCGGACACTCTGTACAAGGCTACTCGATCCGACAGTAGCCAGGAGGCGGCAGGCGTCCCTACCTCCACCAGCCAGAACCAGCAACCCGGCGCCAAGCGCGCGCGCACGAGAACGCCCTCCGCAAGCTCGATCGTTTGCCTCGGTGACGGAAGCACTGACAGCAGCAGCATGGATGAAGACGAGGCGGACGAAGGCGAAGGCGAAGACTCCCCCGACAACACCTCCATCGACCGTCCCGTGCTACCCATGCCAAGCAGGAGCCAACGGGCAGCACAGAAGCCAAACTACAACGTCGCGAATGCCTACACCCACCTCGAACTCGACTCGGAGACGTAAGCCGAGAGCGGCGACCCCACGGATGCTACGCGTTGCGCAGGGCAACGTCGGAAAGATCTCCCCGGCGCACACGGCTTTCCTGCAGCTCTGCTGGGAGGCTCAGATAGATGTGGTCCTCGTCCAGGAACCCTGGACGGGCTGGAAGGACGGAAACGTGCAACTGAACACGCACCCGGGTTTCGACTCTTTCGTCCCGGTCGACTTCTGGGACAGCGAAGGAACCAGACCAAGAGTATTGACCTACACACGCAAAGGGATAGGGATGACGGTGGAGCAGCAGAGGCCTGTCCACACGAGAGACGTACTGTGGCTGGTGGTC